ACGGGCGACTTACACTTGCCAAAAGTTGCAGGCAGCTTCATCGGTCCAGAGTAAAATGCAAAACAAAAAGTCGTGCATATGTCATATTCGCGTAGCTAAAATAGTGCTGGGTAAAGCTGTTGCTGTCAGGTAGCATTTTGGTCCTCAGGGAAGAAGAGGCTAAAAACAGGAACGTCCAAACCAAAACAGGAAAACCAGGAGTTGATCAAACGTCTCTCACACCATGCAGGCCCCTGGAATGGCTGACAGCGGAGGGGAGATGTGGAAGTTATATTAACAGTGTGTGTTTTGTGCTAAGCCACGTTCAACTAATGAGAAGCCTGTGAATGGACGACCTCCAAAACGTCCTATCAACAGCCTTGGGAAGGTCCCACACAAACTTGAGAGCCTTTGATCCATCTCAGGTTGGGTCTTCCTCTTTTCCTGCCGCTTTCCACGTTTCCTAGCGTTATTGTCTTTTCCCGTGGCCTCTTGTCTTCTCATCGTGTGGCCAAAGTACGATAGCCCCAGGTGAGTCATTTTAGCCTTCAGGGAGCGTTCGGGCTTGGTTGGCTCTAGAATCCATTTATTTTGGCACGCCGTTGTGTCTGCAAAGCTCTCCTCCTCCAACACCACACTTCAGGTGAATCAACTTTCTTCCCATCCGCTTTCTTCGTCGTCCAACTTTCACACCCAGAGATATAATGGGGAATACCCATAGTATGCATGATCTTAATCCAGTCTCCAGTGACAACTTCCTTGTACTTAAGCTCCTGCATGGCTGCCCTTCCAACTTGCCAAGAGAGAGAGCATTAGTGTTGTGGGTGCAGAAACTTCTCCGATTACTGATGCAGTTCAGAAAAACGCCACACATAACAAAGCTTCTAAGGAAAATTAGTAAAGGTTTCCCTTGCTCAAAAGACAGTCGAATCCAACTCTCAGGATGCGGTGCTCATCTCCGTTTCCAAGCCGAAGAGCCAGCGCTATCCAAAGACGTTTCCGTGGTCTTGTGGCCGGCATGACTAGACGCCGAGGTGCACAGAACGCCATTACCTTCCCACCGAAGCAGTACCTATTTATCTACTTGCAATTTCTTGCTTTCAAACTGCTAGGTTGGCAAGAGCTGGGACCATTGTGTCAGCAAGCTGCCAAGGAACTCTGTGTGGTGTACAACCTTCCCTGTTTAGGGTTCCCCCCCTCCCTCATGCTCCTTAGTGATACCCAACTACGCATGCTTGCTCGTATAATGAATCGCACGTTTGCTTGTCTCATGCATTCCTTTCTATGAACGCTAGTGTTGCTTTGAACTATAGTAATCAGCAAGGTCACAGGTGCGGGGAAAAGTCGGCTTTGCTTAGTCTATAATGAATTAGAGTGTGAGAAGAGCTTAATTGTTTATCTTTTAGGAACCGTTGATTCTCAGGCTATGGGCGCGAATATGAAAGTCCACCCGCGCGAGCGGGAACCATGTCCATTGGTTATTGCCAGTATGAATCTGCTTTATTATTCTATGACCCGAGCGTTGTAGTTATTCCAAACAGTGAACTTGTTCCTGCTTCATCATGGCTTCAATAAAATAATACTTTGCTACAAACGTGTATTTGACTGACAGCTGTGGGGGTCGGACAGACTATTATTAAGTAGGGGCCAAAGGATTTCACTCTCACCAACAAGTGTGAAATTAGCAAACTAAAGGCAAAATTTGGGAAGCACAGCATTGTGCAGCAAATAGACTGCAGGAGAAAAGGAGCTAGAGGGGCACTTTCTACATAAGAACATAAGAGAAGCTAATGTTGGGGAGGTGGGGTCAACGACGCAACGATGGTGGATGCCTTTCCCAGCTCTCTGGGGAAGCGTACCGCAGAACCTTACTGCAAAGGGTGGAGGTTTCTTCAGACACAAGGGGCAGGCATTCTCCTCTTCTTCGTTAGCTGGCCGAGCTGTCCTTCCCTTGACAGTTTGGTGCAGTGGTTAAGCGCGCGGACTGTAATCTGGGAGAACCGGGTTTGATTCCCCACTCCTCCACTTGCAGCTGCTGGATGACCTTGGGAAAGCCATAGTTCTGTCAGGGCTGTTCTTGAAAAAGTGCAGTTTCTGTCAGAGCTCTCTCAGCCCCGCCTACCTCACAGGGTGTCTGTTGTGGGGATGGGGAGGGAAAGGAGTTTGTCAGCCGCTCTGAGACTCCAAGTGAAGGGTGGGGTATAAATCCAGTCTCCTCCTCCTCCTCCTCCTCCATTCTCTCTGTGGCTGAAAAAGCCATGACTCCGTCACTTCTTCTTCTTCTTCTTCTTCTTCTTCTTCTTCTTCTTCTTCTTCTTCTTCTTCTTCTTCTTCTTCTTCTTCTGTCGGGTCTCATACTGGGCCACAGTATGTCTCTCCCAGCTGGGCAGCCTGTGATTACCGGTCTTGTGCAGGGTTCCCCCTGTGAACCAAAGGTCTTAAAATCCTCACCCTGACACAGCTGGATATCACTCAAGATTTTAGAATTCTGCCCTTTAGAATATTTTTTCCAATTCATTCTTTTTTTTATTTAACGAATTAACCTTCGTGGGGTGTGTTAGCAAAAGCCAGTTAAGAGAAGAAGGAGAAGAAGGAGAAGAAGAAGGAGAAGAAGGTGAAGGAGGAGAAGAAGGAGGAGAAGAAGGAGGAGGAGAAGGAGGAGATGGAGGAGAAGAAGAAGGAGAAGGAGGAGAAGGAGAAGAAGAAGAAGAAGAAGAAGAAGGAGGAGATTGCGGAGAAGAAGAAAAGAAGGAGGAGGAGATTGGATTTATATCCGCTCCTGTGCACTCCTGCAGGAAATGATGAAATGTATAAGGTATTAGCTTTAGTGTGCATGCACACTTCTTCAGATACATTGGCACTGAAGTTGCCATTCCAGGCATATAGAAGGTGAGCAGCAAATTAGCATACAGCTTAATACAGTTGTTTGACAGATGCAAGGACCCAACTGGAATGACAAGCTTCGTTTCTATGGTCACTATTTGTTTGGCTTTAATTCCAGGGGAGAACGTCATGGAAATAAATATGTCAGAATTGGAGACTGATGGGTAGATGTGTCCTGAATTGTGGGATGCTGAGGGTAATTAACTGAGGCCTTGTCATGACGCCCTGTCTGGTCTCCTCTCAAGCATGGCGGCGACTTGACAGCCTCTTCTTCTTTGAAGTGGGCCGATGGGCTGTGTAGAGTTATCTCCCCTGTCCCCGAACAGAGATAAGGGTTGGTGATACTATTGGAGGAAGTTGGAGACTACGGTCCTTTCCGCACCAGACCTTCAATCCTGGTCCAACCCTGTCCCCGAATTTGCATTCTACACTACACTCGGATTCACCCCTGTAATTATCTCAGGGTATTTTTTGTTTCCACATTACACTGAAGTCACCCCGGTTTCGCCCCAGACTTGACCCGGGATAAACGGATGCTGTTATAACCAGGGGTAAATGCAAGGTATTGTGTCGCGAGTTGAACTCTGACAAAACCAGGGATGAGATCCAAGTGCGGAAAGGATCTCATGCATTGCGATGTGGCTGTGAAGAAAGCGAATGCAATCTTAGGATGCATTAACAGAGGCATCGTGTCCAGATCAAGAGAGGTGGTCGTTCCACTCTATTCTGCTATGGTCAGGCCTCACCTGGAGTCCTGTGTCCAGTTTTGGGCACCACATTTGAGGAAGGAAGTTGACAAGCTCGAGCGTGTCCAGAAGAGGGCAACCAGGAGGGCGAGAGGGTTGGAATCCAAGTCTTACGAGGAAAGGCTGAAAGAGTTGGGTCTGTTTAGCCTGGGAAAGAGAAGGCTTAGAGGGGACATGATTGCAGTCTTCAAGTATCTGAAGGGCTGCCATGTAGAAGACGGAGCAGATCTATTCTCTCTCGCTCCAGATTGCAAGACGACGTCAAATGGGTGGAAATTACCAGGGAGTCGTTATCAGCTAAATATCAGGAGAAACTTCCTAACTGTAGGAGTGGTTGAGCAGTGGAACAGTCTGCCTCGGGAGGTGGTGGAGGCTCTTCCACTGGATGTTTCCAAGGGGAGGCTGGACGACCATCTTTCGGGTCTGTTTTTGGGCTATCTTTCGGCTCTGCTCCTGCAGAGTGCAGGGGGTTGGACTGGATGATCTGCAAGGTCCCTTCCAACTCTAACATTCTAACATTCCGACTCCCGTCCACCCAGCGGTTCGAAAGCATCATAAATGTAAGTAGATAAAGTGGGTCCTGCCCTAGGTGGCAGGGGGCACCCCTCCTCCTTGTGAGGTAGAGGGTTCGGCGGAAGTGACAGCGGCAACAATGGCGGCGGAGCAGTTCCTGGCGACCCGGTGGAGCAACGTCGGAGGCAGAGCCCGGAGAAGTGGAGCCTTGGAGAGCGTGGTGACGTGCGGCGCAGCGCGGCAGAGCCACCTGTGGACTGTAGCCGGAACTGCAGCCAACACAGAGCCACACGCCAAGACGAGACCTGCCGGAGGAAGCTGCTCAGGAAAGATCGGCTCCAGAAAGGGCACCAGGACGCCAATATCTGAAGCCGCGGAAGGAAGCCGGATGACAACTAGCCCGGGGTGCTGGTAGGCAGTCACCACCCTGTAGACAATGTGGCCCTAGTTAGGTTAATTGGTTGGTTAGAACCACTATGTAAACCACCCAGAGACCCTTCGGGGTCAGGGCGGTATATAAGCCGAAGGTATAAATAAATAAAATAAATAAATGATTCTATGAAAGGACCCTGGTCACATCCAGGTAGCTGTAGGAACTGTCAGGAACTCTGAGGTCAGAGCTTCCGGTAAGTACACGAGGCCTTATTTTTCTTTTTAATTTTTCTGTCTAGAATGATTGTGCCCAACAGACCCAGTTTTGGTCCGCCCATCAGCCAAGCATTAGATGCAAGGGCTGATATCGGCTGCAGGTCTCCCGCCATAAGCGAGCAGATGGGAACTCTGACCGGCACGGCTGAGAACTCCTTTCCATTTGAATCCTGAAGCCACCTTAAAACAGGAGGGTTTGGGGTGAACAACTCACATGCCATCACAGTCAGAAATCTGTTCTTTATTTTTATTCACATATATGTATACCAAAAAACCCCACAATGTGGGGGTACAGCAGCAGAGCAAGCGAGGAAGCCGGAACTTCAGGCTGGTTTGTGTCTTCTCTGCGACGTCGGCTCAGTTCCGCCTTCACGCAGTTGCTGCAGACGCCGTTTCCGTTGTTAGTTGTCACAGCCGAAAATGCTGAGTCTGCTGGAGAAGTCAATGAGGTCGGTGCACAGGGTTTCGTATTCCTCCTCCTGGCATTCGTCGTCACTTGGCCACTTCTCGATCCACGTGTCCTTGCTGATGAGGTAGTTGACACTGGAAAAGGGGAGAGGAGAACTGAGCCTTTCACGCCTTCGCTCCATTGGCCACGTGGCTTGTTGGGACCTCGAGAAGGAACGTGCGGAGACTGCAGGGCACGTACAAGGGGGAAGGCTAAACTCTTATCACCTGCCACCCATGAGGGATTAACTGTATGTGCCCTTTGGTGACAGAAGAAGAAGAAGAAGAAGAAGAAGAAGAAGAAGAAGAAGAAGAAGAAGAAGAAGAAGAAGAAGAAGAAGAAGAAGAAGAAGAAGAAGAAGAAGAAGAAGA